CTTTCTACTTGTTATAATTTCATTTTACTGTGTGCAGAATTTTGGCTTGGATTATGATGCCTTCCAACACATGGTGGGAGACTGTCCTCCAAACTTCCTCCAGTTGGCCTTCGACTGTTGTAATGTAAGTATATTAGAGACAAAGAGAGCAAAATGTGGGCTCTTTCTAACTCCTGGAAATGTTAAACAAAACATTACCAAGACCTTTACTAGTTTGGAAGAATGGTTCAAGAAGCATTCTGTTTTTCAGGCTTCTCAAATCCCCTGTTCAATAACATAAATGTGAGAGTTTTTTACAGATGAAATTCCTTCCGAAGAAATGTGAGAAGGAGTAGAAACAGAGAATTTGTCCACTCGCTATCTTGATTTATTTGTGGATGTATTTACTGGCTAGCACCAGCCACTTTATTCTAAATTACCAAAAGTTCTTTCCCAAATGTAGTGAATCCCAAGGGTAATAATAAGGAACAAAGCTAGAAATGCTCTCTGCCATAAACCATATAAATTTTCCTAGCTAACCCCACCACCAGTCGCCTGGTTCCATTTTGACATGAGGACACCACTGCTAGATACAGATATGACTGACACCTGAACAGTTGTGATTTTATGAACTGTGATTTTATGTTGTTTTAATTTGTTACTAAACGATTGCTTAGGCTATTGATGTAAACTGCCCAGAGCCCGCTTGCAGGGAGGGCAGTATATAAATCAAATAAATAAATAATCAGCAGTCATATCTTGGCTAAGATCTTGGAGCATTCAGAAAGTGCATCTGTTTCTTCTTCTCCCATGCTATTATGGACCCTGTCCACTTCCTTCCCTCAGAGGCAAGATTTTCCTTCCGTTTCCATTTCCCTTCACTGACTGAGCAGCCCTGGTAACATGTTTATTCTTCCCTTGAAGAAATCTTGTCTGTCCCACCCTGTCAGCAAGGTATATTTTGGCTATTTGCCCAGCCCAGGAACTTGAGGGAAGGGATAGGATCGCCCTTTAACTTGAACCCTTCAAAATGGCACTTGAGATGCTTTTAAAATTCAAAAATAACAAAGGATTTTATTTTAACATCAAAGGGAAAGGTCAGGTGAAATTGATTGAAATTACTGAGGTAAAACTATTACAAGCACAGACTTACATATCAGGCTAATGAGAGGTTTTGAAATTATTCACAGTTACTTAGATCTTTATGTTGAGAGGCTTTTGTTCCAGTCTTTCCCCAACCACTCTAATGCACTTTATATGTATAATTGCTGACTCTTTTTAGTGCCCAGAAGGTTGGTACCCCTTTTCTTTGGAACACCAGTACTCTTCTTGAGTGTTTGACTGACTTTTCAGGTCTCTACAAGCAGTTCCTAATCACACCAGTCCGGGGATCTCTGCACTCCTCAGAAATAACTCTCCCTGTTTGACTGTGTAGGAAATCTTCTCTCTCTAGATCTACCCACTTTCCTTTGGCCTGACTGGGAGTCTTCTCTACTACCCACTTCCTTGCCAAACTCTCTCCCCAGTACTCCTGTCTGTGTTCAAACTGCTCTCAGCTATTGCTGAATTCAGCTTGTATTCAGTCAAGCTAGAAATCTTACTCTGTCAGCACTAAACCCTTTTCTGTCAGGGCTATTCACAGAAAATCTCAGTTAAGGCAGGAATCTTACTGACTCTCCTCAGTATCCAGCTCTCAAGACTTTTCTTTTTGTTTGTTTTTTTGCTCAGCTGATGCCAACCAATCAGATTGTCTGGAGCAACCTGTCACTCAAGGCTCTCTGGCTCTGTGAAGAATTAACTCTTCACAGTCCTTTAATTGTTGGTACAGCACTTCTGAGCCTCTTAAAAAGTGCAGTCTATCACACATGTCGTCACAAAATGTTCTTATGGGTAGGGGGAGAGTATAAAATATCAGCAAGGCTACCTCATCCCACTACACACCTACAAAAGTGGTTTAACTTGAGACAAAAGAAATAGATTTTATACCATGAGGAATGATACCACAGTCTTATACTACCTCTTGTGCTCCAGCCTAAGATTATAAATGCGCATAGGCAAGTTAAGTGAATTGAACTGTGGATTTGGAAGTCTAAGGCTAAGACTTCCTGCTTGCTTACACAAGTGCTTTCAGTCTAGGAGTAACTAGCACTGTATGCGTCCCTCAACTTTATGTGAAAAGACGAGAGTTTTTCTGTCATGGCACCTTGTCTTTTCCACTGTTTCATGCAGTACTTCCATTTGCCTTTGTTAAATGTATTGCTAACCAATATCATAGGATAACTTTGACTTCCAGTATTGTGGGAGAGGGAGAAAAGTTTCTCTGCATCCACTAACTCCAAACCATGCATAATTTTGTAGACCTCTGTGATGTTACTTACCTCTCAGTTGCCTTTTTTTCTAAACTAAAAATACTCAGGTACTTTAGCTTGCCTCAAAGGGACGCTGTTCCAGCCTTTGATAAATCTTGGTTGCCCTTTGTGGTGTTTCTTTGGATTCATCAAGAGCTGTTTGAGATATGGTGACCTGAACTGTAGCTGCATATTGGCAATTTTATTCTTGCTCCATTTCCTGATGATCCCTAGCATGCTGTTTGCCTTTTGTTTTGTAAACACTGTTGCATGCTTAGTCAATGTTTTCAGTGAGCTATAAATCACAACTCCAAGGTCTTTTTCATGGCCTATCACCATCAATTGTGCCCCCATCAGTGGATATGTAAAATTGGGGGGGAGGGGTCCCAGAATTCATCACTGTGGATTTACTTACATTGAATTTCATTGTCCATTCACCCAATCTGGAGAAATCCTTTTAGGAACTCCACACAATCCCCTCAAGTTTTCACCATCCTTGAACAATGCAGTGTCATTTAACCAGTCACAAATCTGTAAAAGGACATGCCCTCTTATATCATTAATGTTAAGCTTACTCAGAAACCTTTGGTGAAACTTTTAAAGTGCTCTTTGAAATTCTCACATACACAAAGGGTTGGATCCATCCAGCCTTTTGTTCATTCTCACATACTTTCCCTCTTTCCTATAGCCTCCATTGCACATATATTTTCGTCATGCTGGTCCCATGAGTTCCCGCATAGCCTTTTTCATGTTCAAAGGGGATCCTCCACTACCTCTTTCACCAGAGGAAAAGCTGGCTGGATCCACCCAAGTGTCTCTCAGTTCACTCCTGTCTACATGCTTGTTGATTCTCTCAGAGAATTCAAAGAGGTTGGTGAGGCAGGTCATGTTGTTTTCTTTTCAGCAAGGCTCATTCTTCTGCGTGTTTAACAGTTTTGCCTTTGATAACATTTTCTACCAATTTACCTGGAATTTTAATCTTATTCTGATGATTTTTTAGTTAATGCAATTTTTCTTATAATATTTTGTTTTATATTGTAAACCACTTTGAAGATGTTTATAGGGAGAGATGGGATATGAATATGAATTATCAAAATAAAAAGTGGCCCAATCTTGGTATTCAAGAGAAAAGAAGCTGCTTGGTGTATCAGCTGAAAGTGGTTAAAGGTGTCAAAGATGGTACATGAGCCTCCATCAATGGACATAAATTTATAACACCTCATACTTCATCTTATCTTTTGGGGGACTGCATCGCAATCCAGAAGCTGCTGATTCCTGACTCTCCTGTTGGCTGAATTAGTGAGAACAGCATGGGACAGGACTTCAGTTTCTTAGTTCTTTCCTCTTCTTTTTTTTGCCATTTCAGTTTTATTTATTTTCGAACGATATTCCATCAAACGCTTGTAACATAATTTGAATACAGAAACAACCACAGTTCTTCTTTTAAACAATATAAGTATAAACTAAACCTTTAGTTAATATTTTCATCCAGTTATACATTTTGACCAAGTCTCTTCAAACTCTTTCCCCTCTTTACCTTTTAAGATATTTGTCAGTCTGTTCATTTCTACTACATTTAACAATTTATACACAAATTCATCTTTACCCGGTATAACATCTAGTTTCCAATATCTCGTGTACACTATTCTAGCCGCGGTCACACAATGCAATATTATTATTTTATCGATTTTTACAAAATTCTCTGGGATTAAGTTCAGGAGAAACAGTTCTGATTTAAGAGGTATCGGGATTAATACAATGTCTTGAATCATTTTTTGAATCATTTTCCAGAAGGATTGTGCTTTACCACAGGTCCACCACATATGGTAGTAGGATCCAATATTGTGTTTACACTTCCAACAAGTGTTTGTCAATAACCTGTTAAATTTAGCTAACTTCACTGGGTAAAAATACCATCTATTTATTACTTATAAGGCCCATTATGGCTCTCAAACATTTGTAGAGAACATCTGCCTCACCTGCTTTAGCTGAAAAAGATAAATGCAATTTGCTTATCCGTTTTTTTCATAGATGGACCCAACACTACGGCCTTCATTTGTGGACATTGTAAAGACACTGGAGGAGATGCTAAGCTGCTTGAAAAATGAAGAGGCTGAAAGAGAGAGGAAGCTCTTAAATCTTGACAGTACAGAAAGAAAACCCATCTCCGTTTCCAAAGGTAGGAATTGCAAAAAGGAGAACACAAAATGATTACAAAAGCAAGGACTGTAAAATAACATTTTTACTGCTAAATAACAAAATACAAACAGTGTTCTAATGAAGTCAGATTTCATTAGATAATGAGCGCATATTTGCTTTATCTTCAATCAATCAATAATAAATTATAGTCATGGACAAACAGAATAAAACATGCATTCACAGAGAAGTTATCAGAATATATGTACAATTTTCCATTGAGAGAGAGAGAGATCACTAAATCAGCACTATACCTCAGTAGACTCTGGCAGCTGCAGAGAATCTGGCAACTCTTATATGAGGTTTCAGATTCAAGCTCTGCAAGAAGAAAGGAGATATACCATTCCTCCAATCTTCCCGGGATTTTTTGGAGGATGGGTGTAATAAAGACATATCTAAGGTCATTATAGAAGAGGCAGTATAGCAGCATATGTCCAACCTTCTCAATTTCCCCAGTAGAAGAAGAAGAGATTGGATTTATACCCCACCCTTCACTCGGAGTCTCAGAGCGGCTTACAAGCTCCTTTCCCTTCCCCTTCCCCTCCCCACAACAGACACCCTGTGAGGTAGGTAGGGCTGAGAGAGCTCTGGTAGAAACTGCTCTTTTTCAAGAACAGCTGTGCCAGAGTTATGGCTTGCCCAAGGTCATCCAGCCAGGTGCAAGTGGAGGAGTGGGGAATCAAACCCGGTTCTCCCAGATTAGAGTCCGCGCACTTAACCACTACACCAAACTGCACCAGTAATGCAAGGGCATAAATGCTGTAGTGGTACAGCACGGTATCTCTCTTCTCATAAAGTGGGTGGAAGAACATTGAGATGGTCCAGAGTGAAAGCTATCCAGTATTCAGGAATCAATAAATAAACACCAGTTTCTCATTTCTCAAGTGATGGTATTTTGCAACCAAACATACATGGTGTGGAAGTTCGATGTCCCAAATCCTTTGCTTGATTTTTCCCTTATTTCTGTTATGCAGTGAAGGACTCCCAGCTTTCCCAATATTTATTCCATCTACCTTCTCTTTTTTGTTAAAAATAATAACTTTTGACTTATTTCCAACATATACTGAGATAATTGCTTACTAGTTCATTGTTAATACAATCCAGTTGTCGCGCTCCCCCTTTATCCGTGGAGTAGCACCTCTGATGGCCGTATTGCTGAAGTAAAACGTCGAGCACCGGCTAGACGGGTGGTCCAGGAGGCAGGAGAGTTCGAAAAAGGGGGGAGAGAAAGGCCTCAGACCGGCAGGGGACATGGTTTAAGAGCACCCTGGGTGTCCCTCTGCCCGCACGCTGTGACGGCTTTCCCACTCTCTCTCTCTGTCTCCTTCACTTCTCCACTCTCTCTCTCTTTCCTAGTCCCAGCGTTCTTCTCCTCCCCGGCCCTCTCTTCATCCCGCCTTTTATTACCCTTTCCCCACATCCGGGACCGCCCCTTTGGCTTGGGCCCCGCCCCTCCTTATAAGCAGAGGCGCCGGTAGGGCGTTCCCGGGTGGGCATTGGTATACCGCCGCCGACCTTGGTGGCCTATGTGCCACGCCGCTGGCGCCGCCCTGCTGCTCCAGCCTCTCGGGGCTCGCTCCCAGCCCGCTGGCCACATCGTCCTGCTCGTCTTCCCAGCGGCAGCTTCTCGAGCCCTGGTCCCGTCCTCTGGCGCGGCTGGCGCAGGGTGCCGTGGATGAGGCTGTGCCTCCCCCCTCCGCCGCCGGATGGTCGGGCTGCTCCGTCTCTCCGGGTGGTTCTTCCTCGGGTAAGACGGGTCGCGGGGACTCTCCAAGGATTGACGGGGGTTTTGAGGTCTGCCGCTCGCGGTCCGCGACCCCCGGAGCGGGACACCAGTAAGATACCCAAAGCATGCTGATATAGGGCTCATCCAGTAACATTTTGAATTACTTGATTTTTAGAATTCTAAAAGATTTAGTTATGAAGTAATACCACCACATGTAGATACAGCCTTCCACGACCATTCCAGCATTTTCTATCATTAGTGCTACAATTACCTTTCCAATTTTCATTGTATTAGTTAACAAAGCCTTACTTTAAAGTAATTTCATTTAACATATTTTTAAAAGTTTGAATTATTTTCTCCTAGATTAATTCATCTGGCATCTCCTGACATTACTTCATATACATTTTGGAGTTTGACTACAGTCAAATAACAGGCATTAGAGCAGGGGTGTCAAACATGCATCCCGGGGGCCAGATCAGACCCCTGGAGTGCTTCTATCAGGCCCGCAGTGCAACTGGCTGTCTTCTGCTGCTTCTTGCAATTCTGCTGCTGCTGCTGCGTCATTGTAGACTTGCAGCTTATAGATACACACCTGAACAGCATACTCAAGATTGCAATAGCATAGACATTTTAATGCAATAATTCAGAGCAAGAGGTGTCAGTTATCAGACACTGTTAAATAAACAAAATATTGCAAGAGTGCTAATGTTTTAAGCATGTTTTTATTTTAAGGGGGAAAAACCCCACCCTTTGTGTTTGTGTCCTTTATAAAGTTTATATCTCTGCTACCTGGCATTACATTTTATGACACACATGGCCCGGCCCAACAAGGTCCCATTTATGTCAGATCCAGCCCACATAATAAATGAGTTCGACACCCCTCCTTTAGAGCATTATCAGAAAATTATCTGTATGGTTTCATGGAATCATTCCAATTTATGACAGGGGTCTTGAAGAACAATCTAAATTATTTGAGGCTGAATCCAGAGTACTGTGAGCGGAGCATCGGTTGCCAAACAGAACTTTAGTCCCTTCTACTGTACACCCCTCCCCCACAAAAACATTGCCTCCACAATTCAGCCCCAACCCCACCCCAGACAGCAGTAGGTGCTTTAAAGGAGTCTGCAGTTGGAGGGGGAATGGGAACGAATTGCCCACTATCCCCTTCACCAACAGAACTGCCTTTCAATGGGCAGAAAACAAGTGTTGGATCCAACATTTACATTCATTTTCTTTAAGTACTGGAGAAAATGAAGGTTTTCTTTCTCTCAGTTTTGTTTATATTTACTTAGCTCCTTTGAGCTTTTCCATTGGTACAAGAGGGAGGGCAGGGCTCCTCTCTGACTTCTGAAAAGGCTGTTCCAGGGATCAAGGGACCTCTGTTTGCAAAAAGCCACATAGGACAGGGCTGCAGTGAGGAGAACAGTCCTGTAAGATTGCCTTTCCTTCCTCTTGCCTCAGTGGAAAAGCTGGTAGGATCCAACCCATTATTCATATTATAGTATAACACCATTTATTTGTAGGAAAAATGCAAAAACCAGTTGGACCAACTTTCGAAACCTTCCAAACCACACGTTTAGTTATATTGAGTTGTAATATCATGCTCAGAGAATAACTAATTTATTCCACATTTTTAAACTAATTTGAATTACTTTGCTTTGAATCATTTTCCTCTTATCTTAACCCAAAGGAAATATTTTCAGGAGAATTCTGCGAAAACAGAAAACTAAGCAGACTTCCTGGCTTCCCAATTCAATGCAGCACTGGAATCATCTTCTGCTCAGTGGAAATTAGGCTGTGGTCACACAGCAAGCTAATTGCGATTTGTTCCCGCTATAAATTTGATCCAGAATATTTTTTTCTGGGTTGGGATGATCACACATCCCTCCCAGAACCGCAAGCATTGCGCGATGAGACTCTGGGCACTGTCTAGATAGCGGCACGAGTTTTTTTTTAAACTTGCTTTGCGCATGTGCAAATGCACACGGCCGACTTGCTGTACTCACTTGTTTTTTGCAGGCCCCCCCCCAACAGCAAACAAATAATAAATAATAAATGCCAGGCGGGTGGAACACTGCTGGCCCCTGTGTCTCTCTCCGCCGCCCGCTCGCCCCCCCCCCCCCCCCCACATATCCTATTGTTGTCTGTGCCAGGTCATGTCTAGGCAAGTTCTGGAGCCACCACTTCGAAGTCACTGGCCATCAGCACCAGAGGAACTGCCTGCTGCAGCTTTCAATTCAATGCCTGCTGGCAAGCTTGCCGCGCTCCGCTCCCTGGCACCAGGGGCTCCCTCCCTCCCTCCTAACAAAATGAACCCACAACATACTACCAAGCGCTGGATGTGCACTTGAATGTTTAAATATTGAATTGCTCATGCGCCCAAAGGCAGAAGCTTGGGGAAAAAACCCTCTCCGCCGCCCGCTCACCTCCCCCCCCCAGCAACCTTCAATACCGCGTCCTGCTGCCTGATTAGCCCCAGCCCGACGCTGCTGGCAAGCTGGGTGCACTCTGCTCCCTGGTGCCAGGGGCTCCCTCCCTCCTAACGCCACAGCTTCGTGGACTCCTTGGGGCAGGCTCTGCCACCTGCTCGCCTGCCAGCCCGCCCAGCACTTCCCCACCCACCCACCTCCCCCCAGCAACTTTCCACGCCGCCTCCTGGCCCGACACTACTGGCAAGCTGGGCGCTCCGCCCCCTGGCACCAGGGGCTCCCTCCCTCCCTCCTAACAAAATGAACCCACAATGTACTACCAAGTGCTGGATATGCGCTTGAATGTTTACATTGCTCATGTGCTCAAAGGCAGAAGCTTGGGGGGGGGGGACCTCATTGCACGAAGAACGGTCAGACGACCCTAAGCGCAATCATTGCAAGAGATGGCTGTCCACATCGGCGAAATCACGGATTCAAAGCGCAATTACCCAGAAAGTACTTGATTTTTCTGGTGCAAGAAAACATGGGAGAGAACCGGGAGCATTGCGGGAGTGAGCCAGCTTCGGTGCGGGAGACGGATCAGCCCATCTGGTCAGCGATTTCTTTAAAAGTGGGAGGAAACAGCAGTGAAACCCGATCAAAATGACCATGTGACCACAGCTATAATGTGCAGAGCTGCCCCTGACACAGAATGGATATGGCCATATGGAGCTCCTGTGAGGTGCTTCTGGAGTGGTGCTCATTAACTGTAGTTTTTTTTTAAGTCCCAGAAATGCAGAGAATAGAGCAAAACTCAGCAAGTGTTTAGACTATGACTTTTTTGAAGCATCACAGTGCCATCTGGTGTACTTAAGGAGACTAGAATAGAAACACTAGTATTTGTATATTTCTAAATGTTAAGATAGAAATTCCGCTAGATAACTGCTTTCCATTAACCCGTAATGATTTGTTTGTATTTACTTTGTTTAGTGATGCCTTATTTAAATGTATTTAACAGATTTTTCCCCAAAGCCCAACTGCTGTGTCTCCTAGTTTCTGCACAGGACAATGTGCTATTTCAAGGCTGATGTGGAATATAACTCCTTCACTTCCACAGGGAAGTATTGCTGCTTTGTCTTCACCTTTCACAACATGGGGTGTCTTTACTCTAGGGAAACCTCACATGTTGAAAGCATCTGCCTTTGTAGTACCATAGGTTTGTACTATAGCCTTATTTAATTGTAAGTGTCCTCCTAAACATATGCTCTTGGGAATAACCCACTAATGCACATAGAACCATGGGTGGGGGAACACAGGAGAAGAGGCTTGCAGAAGACTTCGAAGACAAAATATAACACACGTGTCATTGACTGCATTCCTCTCAAAGGGCCTATACATACTGAATATGGAAAACTTTGCATCTTAGATTAAGATTTTGAGTGGGCACAAACAATTAGAGACAACATCAGTATTTGGAAGGTTTGAAATGTAAATAATGTATAGGTATTTTTAGAATAGTAGATTGCTCATTTCAATTTATTCTGAGGAAAAATGGATTTAGGGACTAAGAGGCACTTCTGATACTGGATTCCATGTGCAAGTTTTTGCATATCCCAAGCACATATGTTTGTGGAGGGCTGTAATGTACAAATGTCACATGTGCATTGGTGGTTGTATGATTCCAGCCTAGCTACTAACGTCATCCTTGGCTTTAAAAATCTATTTTTTTTAATCCCTTCCTTTCTCATTTAGGATTTCTAGAGAGAGGACAAGGAGTTAAAAGGCTAAGTTCACTGGATGACAAGATTCCTCCAAAGTCACCACGTCCACGGCGTAACATTTGGCTATCACGCAGTCAGTCAGACATCTTCTCCCGTAAGCCTTGTCAAAAGATAAATGTCCAGGATCCCTACTACACACCAAGTAAAGGGGGAAGCCGGAAAGTCAACCCTTTCAATGCTAGAGAAGACCTGAAAGGGGGGAAAGTCAAATTTTTTGACATGCCAAGCAAATCTGTAATATCACTTGTATTTGACTTGCACTCCCAAGAGGCAGGAGGATGCCTGAAGATGAGCCAGCCTCAGCTAAGGCAGACCTTCAGCACTGATTGGCAGGAACCCACTTTCCTCCCTTGGCGACGTTGTAGATCACTTCCTGTCTCTCCTGAACTCATGCACAAAGAATATAACACATTCGGGGATCTGTCTTCAACAGTTGGCAGGTGCGATCCAAGCCAGCTAGGGGTTGAGGTGCGACAAAAGTTATTGAGCAGCAGTAAATATGGAGTGTCTGAGATCCCTCCTTTTCAGGCCAAATTGCATAGGCTGGATTCTCCTCCTCCTGTGCAAGAAGAAGAGATGGACTGTTCTGATGGACTAGAACCCCAGGATGAAAATGGGTTCTATCCAGTGAAAAATTCAGTTGAGGAGCCAGAATTCAGAAAGCCCACAGGGCAAATTCTACAAGACTCCCAGAATGTGGAGGATATCTTGGTACAGAATGTCATCCATTCAGAAGATAAACCCTCAGATGCGTTCATGAGCTGTATAACCTCTGAAGATATGGAGGTGGAAGATGAAACACAAAGGAACATGTCTTCGACTAGGTTGGAGTCTTCCAAACTGTACAGTGTTAACCCTTCCTCACAGCTGGGCCGAGAAGTATCTCTGTTTGAGGTAGTAGATAGTGACACATCAAATCAAGTTTCTTCACCATCATCAAATACACCAGCAGCAGTAAGTGAACAGTCAAAATGTGACATTTAAAAGTCTAACCAGAGCGACACACTCCTTCCACTACCTTAGAAAGCTAAAACCAATGTAAAAATGTTCTAGCAAGTTGTAGCAACTAGTTTGGAGGTTGCAAAACATTTATTTGGAGAGAGACTACATATATGGAAGTACTTATAGCAGAACGATCCCTCAGCTTACCTCAGGAGGCAATTGTAGGGAGAAAGGGTGAACCACATCTCTGGGATGTCTGGAGCAATGCAAGGGCAATAATTCATAGGAAAGATGGTGGGATCCTTGGTCTGCCCAGGCTTAGAAGCCATTCTTGTGTGTGTGTGTGTGCGTGTGTGTGTGTGTGTGTGGGCGCATGTGTATGCTTTTGCTTCCATTGAAAGAATTCTTCTAAACTTGCCAGAACTTCCCTTCTGAAATATCTATAACTTTCACTTTCTCCCTAGCACTTGCTGAGCAGCTATAAATATCTTCTGGCTCGGGATCTTAACAGGCTTGAAGTTAGCAGTACCCTGGCTCAAATTTAGTTTCTTCTTTCTCTGATGTAATGACAAGTTCATAGCACTTAAAATCCCAAGTTCCCTTGTATCCATACAATAAGCTCAGACTAGGCTGCAACATCTAAGCTTTCTACCTCTTCCCATATGATTTTAAATGCTGAAAGTGAACAGTTCAGACTCTTACTTAAGGCACTCCTTGTCCAGTTGGAAAAAGCGCAGCTTGTGCTGACTGCTCTTGACTGTGGCAGTTTCATTGCAAAACACAAAATCCCACTAGGTTTTCCTGGCACCACCAGTCAGCACCTTCTGTGATAGAGAAGGAACAAGGCATGTGACCATCACATCTTTAACAAAGGAAACCAGGGGTGTGCTCTTAAAATCCCAGCTGTGAGTGCACCTGTTTACTTGAGCATTGGAAATACAGACCCTAGCCCTACTACAGAGGTGTGTATAGATTAGTCTACATTTATGTTTTTTGTAACTTTCATAAGCACCTGGTATTCTGAAGAAATAAGGTTTGACTTTGGCTGGCTGTACAAATAATGCAATGCAAAGAGTCCATACGAATTTTTATTTTCTGAACATTTAGTCTGTCATTGAAGTTCGACTCTGTTTCATGGCTTTAACACAGCAGGCTGATAAAAGCTCCCCTGGGGGGAAGAAATTAAGAGCAGTGCTGCCTCCTGATGTTCACAGAGAGCTCTGGTGAAAGCTTTTCAAAGCAGCAAGCAATAATTTGGGGACTTTTGACAGAACCTGGCATGTTTAGGAACAGGTAGCCAACCTCTGTGCTTACTTTGTCCTGGGCAGTTTTGGGCAGCTCCTTCAGAACTTATCTCTGGAATGAAGAATGACTGCTAATTTTTAAAATAGCCCCATAATAGTCTAGTTTTTCCAATCTGTTGCCTCTCAGGGTGGACCAGAAAGAATTCTTACAAGTACTATCCATATGCATCTTTTTGATTTACAGAATAAAAGTGGCAGGTTGGTAAATAACTGAATTGCCAAGTAGATGCTTGATGAACATTTTGAAATGTGTATTACATTGCCCATTAAACAGAAGTTTAATTTTGGATTGGTTAATGGATTGTGAGAGACTTCAGCATTTCGATCTGTTTCACAGGCTGTGGAAGAGAGTCCACACTTAATCATTTGCCCTGTGGACTATCTTAACTCTGTAGCTTTACCTACGCTCCCTGTGCTCTCACTGTTCTGCCAAGGTTAGAGCAAGTGGGACACCCTTGGTTTGAACAAGTGTTCTAATTATGCTTCTGTATGTATATGTATGTTGGTGGAAGACTTGAGTCCCTTATCCTCATACAGAAAGTACAATGTCTTCCCATTCCTCCAAGTAGTAAAAAGTGATTGACATTCTAGTGTCCAGGTGAAAGCGAATTCCTTGGCCATGGAGTGGTTAAAACTGACTGTATACTGCCCTCTTGGGAAACATGCTAAGAACCTCTTGTCCTATGTTTCTCTCCAGTATTGCAAAGCAGCTGCTGGCTATTAACTGTACTCCGTGCAGAATGAAGCCAGCCCGTCTGCTTTATACAACATAGTAGTGATTCTTTTGCTTTTATCATGTGTTTGATTTGCTGACAAAGATGCATTTTGCTTTTTATAAGCTACCCGGTCTGTTTTAATTCACTCACTCTTTTGATATTAGTTATTAAATATGTTAGAAGCTATACCTGTGGCTGATTGGTGAAAGAAGGCTGTGTGAATAAATGTATGTCTAAATTGCTGCCCCAGCAAAAGATAGGGGTACGATAGGTTTATTCTTTGTTGCTGTATTTTGTCCATGAACACTGGTAGTTCTTGCCAGTTTAACTACAGACACTTGAATAATTCCTCTTTGCACTTAATGCTGCTGTTTATACTGCATGTCACTACATTTCTATGCAAAAATAACCTTTGGGGCAGCCAAATATTTGATTAAGGTTTAAAGATCTTTGCAAGATCTATTTTCATATTTATGAAGGAATTTTATGTCTTAATATTTGCAATCTGTAAATAGCTATACTTTGTCATTAAAGCTTAGGAAGAAGTTTGTAACCTGTGCATAATTTAACACTGCCAGAAAAGAATCTTTGCAAAACAACTTTTTCTAATACTGCAGATATTTATGAAAGTGTAAAGAAAGCAAATCTTGGTTTTTATGTTGATTTACCTTGTCTGACTTTTTTCTGAACTACAGAAGTGGTATGTTTTACTGGATCTGCAATAAGCAACCAAAGATGAACCTGGTTTGAAAATATTTTCATGTTTTGTCAGTTTTTGTAAACTGTTTCCGAATTTGCTTTCAAAATAAAAACAAATTTACTGTTGTGGTTGAAACGACAAGCTGAGGGGGAAGGGGACTACTTTAAATGCACAGCTCCAAGTACTTGCATCTATTGCAAATGGATGTTAAAAAGCAAAAGTTTAACTGGGTGGTAGCCTACTTTAGGTCGAAGGTGGGACAAAGTTTCTTTGGGCTAAACTTTACTTAGTAGAATATAAGATTTCTTTCTTCCTCTGCCTGGATAAATGTCTAATTCGATAAAAACTAGTTACTACAGACGTCAGATTTTCCCCAGCATCACAACTGAGATTTTATTGTTAGGAAAACATGTTTTCCCTCTAGTTAATGTATTTTTTTACTATATCCCAAATCAATGGCACTTCCTAGTTATATGATCTGAAAGTATATTGGAGCATAATAGCTTTGCATGAGACTTTTAACAGCTGGAAAGGCCTTAAGCCAGAAGTATGTAGGTTAAATCTTAAAGGTGGATCATGAGATTCAAAGTCCTGAGCTGGAACAGGAAGCTCTAGGCTCCTATCTTTCTCCTTGATCTGTGTAACATTGAAGATTTTTTCCCCAATAGATGTTGCCGCTGACTAATGGCAACAGTGATTTAAGTTTTCTTGGGGCCAAACTACACTATCTCCAGAGCCCTAGATGTCTAATTAAGCTGCAAAAATCAGCCATGAGTAAATAAGGGTTTTAACTCTTCCTATTTGCTATTCCCCTCAGGCTGCTTTGAAGCACAATATCATACCAGTCTTTTTCCTTCCCAGTGTTTAAATCAGTTGGGAGGGGTTCCAATTAAGTAGAGTTAACCTCCTCTCTGCCCTGTTTTTTTTTTTAGCAACTATTATACATATGGTTGTCTGGACACTGATCCCCAGTGTTTTAATCCTTAAAGGAGTAAGTCCTAGAACATCTGATTTATCAGTAGAAATTCTGACACACATGAATAAGAACAAGTGGGGTAGGGGAGGGAATGGAGCTTCAATCTTTGTTTAAAGTTAATGGTGCATTTTTCCCCCTGCACCAGGATTGAAGCTGCTCTCACTACTGATTATTCAGTCTATAAGGTGCAGCTTGTTCAAGTGCCAAAACATTGGCCTCAAGATTAACTACATATCATAGCTATCATGAGTGCTGTTTAGAAAATTACAGATTCCGAGGTAGGGACTTGGCTTTTATAAGTCTTGTGCTACTTGCATGCATCAGGAGAACAGCCATGGTAACCTTTGTCATGGCATGAACTGCAAGTACAAAAAGGTACAGTATCACCACAGTTGGCACTGGCCCTCATGGCACCATTTCAGACAAAAGTGGTAGATTAGGTTGCAGTGTTTGATCCTTTCCCTGAAACAGTTCTTAGCAGCTGAAAACCACAGAACATCAGTTAGGAAAAAGAACATTGTGAACAAGTAGCAATAAGAGGATTAAAAGCATTAGAAGCAAAAAAAAAAAAAGGGAACTAGTAAGATAGAAGGAAAAGATAGAAAGCGGTTGCTTATAAAATGTGTCCCATCTTTACCTGGGAAAAGCCTAACCATTATCAAGGTTACATGTAAAACTGATCTGTAATCTATTATAATATGTCCCACCTTTCTCATGAATGGCTCAAGGCATCTTAAAACCAACTGGCATATCAGTATCATAAATAAAAAAATAATGTAGTCTAAACATTGTTAGCAGTAGTTGAAAACATCTATGGAAAAACTACTTTTACAAGCTATCCTAGCAACTGGCAAAGAGAGGCACTCCTTGCATTCTGTCACCCCCACCCCAGCAGGCCATTTCACAAAATAAGTGTTATGACCAAAAAGGTCCATGCATATCCTAGAGGGCACAGCAGGATCTGATGGCAGGAATGGAACTGGCCCATAAGCTCAGAGATAGGCAGTCTTTCAGATATGTGAGTCCCAGGTTATGAAGGGCTTTCAACGCGATAACTAGTCCTGTAAACAGCCCAAAAGCAAGTAGGCAAATCAGTGAAGTTGTTTTAGAATCTCAGAGCTGGAAGGGGCCACACAGGCCATCAAGTCCAACCCCCTCCTGAATGCAGGATCAGCCTAAAGCATCCCTGACAGGTGTTTGTCCAGTGAGGGCAGCCAAATCCACTACTGAACTACTCTTACTGGGGGAGAAAAATCCTTTTCAGAGCTCCTAAGATCAGATCATCTTGAACAATGACTAAACAAATAATGAATTATTTACTACAGGAAAATATATTTGACAGAAATTTGGCGATCACATAGGTTGTGTTGGGGTCACTGTCTAGCATCAGATAGGGGATATTATCCCCTTGAAGTTTATTAAACAGAGAGCATGTTAAAAGCGGTGAGATCCAGCAGTTCCTAAAAGTGGTAAAAAAGCAACATTTCAGTATTTTTGAGACAGTATCATTTTTTTTGTAGGGAAGGGTGGCCTAGCAAATCAAAATAAATAAATAATTTCTACCCTGACCGCAAGGGGCATATGAGAGCTGAATATGGAACATGATGACATCTCCCCGTTAACACTTCAAATGGGATGGAATTAAGGCGAGCTATAATGGCAGGGTCCAAGGCGGTAAGATACCAAAAAACTGACTCAAATAGACTCTGTGAGAGTGAATTACTGTATCGTTGTAATCGATGCTGGACAAGTGAAAGGGCCTTGGCCTTACCTAGCAAGAAGATTTCTTCAGTTATAAGCTCTAGCTGCCTTAATTTAGAATCTCCTGTCTTCATCCACTGAGAATGGTAAGCATCTTGTTTAAGAAAAAACAGCAGACCTTCAGCTTCCAAAGCAAAAATAATCTGCGATCACCAAAATCCCGATAGCAACCTGATATAGTAACTGAGGTATTGTTTTAGAACTGAACAGCTGAACTGCACTGGGGGTATATCATCCTCTCCCTGTAAAGAAGCGGGATATTGCTCCAGTAGCAGGCTTAATCTTATTCGGAGCACATGTGTGCTGGTAAGACCAGGAGAGATTTGAAGAAAAAAAACAATCCCCAGGTAGCAAAATTCCTGACTTGTTCAGTATCTAAGTTTGCTATAGTCCATTTGGAAAGACCCAGGGTGCCATTTTTAGAAGAAAAAAAACAAGCTTTTAGATTTAATATAGTTTATTTGCAACTCCTCATTTAAGCAATCCAGCCAGTACCTTTCCACCCATAATTTAAGCCCATTACTGCAAGTCTGTTCCTCTGCTGCCATAGGAACAGCTCCCTGCCCTCCTCTAAGTGACAGCCTTTCAAACACTTAGAGAGCAACCATGTCCCCCTTCAGCCTCCTCTTCTCCAGACTGAACATTTCCAATTCCCTCAGCCTTTCCTCGTAGGGCTTGGTCTCCAGGACCCTGATAATCTTCATCACCCTCCTCTGCACCTGCTCCATTCGATCCACATCCTTTTGGAAGTGAGGTCTCCAGGATCAGTGTGATATGTTCAAAATGATTTGCCCTGTTAAAAGACATGCAACTGCACTTTCCACTAACTGAAGCTTCAAAGTAGTCTTTGAAAAGCAGTCACATGTACAGTGTGCTACAGCAGTCCACCACAGGGACTGCAATAGCATAGATGATAGTGTGGCTACCTCAGCAAACTCTATAAGGAGATAGTTTACAAGCCAGAAAGATAGCTCTCTTAGCAACTAAACTAATCTCCTCTCGCAGCCAGGCTAGGTCCACAAGCCCCTAAACCCTTCACATGATCTGCCAGATAAACATACCCCATTCAAATTTCACAGACCAGTCTCTTCCAGAACATCAGCATCACCCATGCCTTGCCTAAATTCAGTTTGAATTTGTTCACTCTCAGCCACTTAACCACGGATACAAAGTACCGAGGGAGGCTGAGAACATGGTATCAGCAACAAAACTACAGATGGTGTTACATAGCATCCTGACAAATTTTAAAAAGCATAAGTATGAAGCCTTGAGGAACTCTTTCAAAGAGGTGAGTTCATGTTTACTCAGACTAAAAAAAAGACAAATATCATTATGCCATCACTCAGACTAAAAAAAAAGACAAATATCATTATGCCATCCTCTTAAACGCCACATGATTTTCTAAACACCCCAACAAAATTTAGTATGAACACTATTAGACTGCCGATAAAGCAAAAATTAAAATGGATACATTTTTCCTTCTGTAAATTACGAGCATTCTCAAAAGAAATAAAGCTTTTTCATGGTTCCAAAACCCGACTTAAAACACAAAAGCATCAGACAGAAGTATTGTTTCGGGTATTGCTGAAGTTGCCCTCCCACCATTCACTCAGCTGCCTTGCCTAGAAAAGGCAGGTTATAACTTTGTGTGTGTTTGGGTGGGTGGGTAGCCTTCACACCTCAAAAATCCTATCACAGATTCAGTCTGGCTGACCAATTCTGCACTCTCCTTAGAACTCTTAACAAGATGGTGTTTGACACCCCTGGCACAGCCACCAACTTTAACATGGCAGCTGTTGTATACAAAGAGTAAATGTCACAGCTGAGCCTGAGGACATTGTCCAGTAGAGGTTAGTAATTACAGTGGCCATAGAAGTCAATGTACAATAGGGAAAGGGAGACCAAGTCACTGATCATAGCTGGCCACTGAAACATTTACAGTACCATCCTAAGGAGGTCTACTCCATGAGGCTTACTCCT